CCCACTCCCAGAGCTCACGACCGTTAGAAGTCTGGCAGGTCTTTCAGATGAACGACGTTTTCTCATATTTTTACCTCTCCTCTATCGCCATAAGCACACAGTATTTTGTAATTTGTTAACACAGGTGGCATGTCACTGTACACATAATTTGTAATTTGCTTGCTTTGCTCAACAGGGTCATTCTTGAGACCTACCTGTGTTGATTCATAATGATCTAGTTTGTTCCTTTTTACGTAGACAGTAGTATCGTGCGTGTGGCCACGTTACGTTCATCATGGACGGGGCCCAGAGGAGTCATGTTGACTCAAGGCAGTGTGGGCGCCAGTGGTGTCCATGGTGTCCAGCAATGGGCAGGCCCATCGTGCCTGCCACTTGCTCAGCAAACCCTTTCTCGGCCTCCAGTGTGAGCCACATACTGTGCTGGACACTGACCCCGAGTCTGAGGCCCCAGCCCCGGCCCTGTCCCAGAAGGAAGGGGCAAAGAAAGAGCAGGGGTGCAGAGAGCCACCGAGAGCAGGCAGCTGTTCAGATGGACCCGCAGGGCCAAGCTCCAGAGCAGGCCACGGCGGGGCTGGTGCTGCTTGAGGTTCTTTATAACATGTTTTTTTCTTGGGTGTTAGTAAAATTCCTTTTGAAAACTCCAGCCTATCTCAGCTCTGCTGGGGGGAAAAGGGAATAATATATTTTGTTCTGTTGCTATTTTTCCCGAATCGCACTCGGGAAGGAGAGCGGTGCATTTTCTCGAGGCTTTCAGGGCAGCTCCGCAGAGGACACGCGCAGGAGCATTCCTGGCTCCGGCTGGCGCCCTGCCCTGGCTGTTTCAGTTTCCATTTCTGTCGCCCTGGTGGTTGAGATCACACAGGTTCCAGATGTCTGCGTCGACTGTCAGGACTCAGTGACCTGAGTCCTCTGGTGGTCTCCCAACATGTCCCCTGGGTTCAGACCTCACTGTCATCTGGTTGTGAGACCATCCCCCTTCCCAGTCCCTCAAAAGCAAGTGCAGCCTCGCCACCCTGGAACTTTGTTTCAGTTTCTAACTGCTTATTGTTGTTGCCTGCCTTTTGGGGGGAGGGGGTCAGAGCAGGCATTCAGAGAAATACAATCTTAAAGTGATGATTTATGAGGAGAAAAAACCTAATAAGATACAAACCAGTTTGGAAAAGTCCTCTTATGCCAGGGTTCAAAGATGCAGAGAGGGTGTGCACAGAGAGGGTGTGCACAGAGAGATGTGCACTCAGCTTCTCCACTGCCGGCCGCGTCTGGGGTCCCAGGTGTTCTCCCACGTGGTCCGCACAGTGCCCTGGAAAAGAGCGAAGCCCGATACCAGGTATAGGAGCCCCCCCCACCCCAAACCTCAGCCCTCCCTCCGTTCTCCAGGACCTCTTCTCAGCTCTCATCAAGGGCCCCACTCGAACCCCCTATGAGGACGGCCTCTACCTGTTTGACATCCAGCTCCCCAACATCTACCCAGCTGTGCCCCCCCACTTTTGCTACCTCTCCCAGTGCAGTGGCCGCCTGAACCCCAACCTGTATGACAATGGGAAGGTGTGCGTCAGCCTGCTGGGCACCTGGATTGGAAAGGTGAGTACAGCACCAGCCCCCCAGTCAGGATGCAGGGAGAGCCAGTAGGAGTGGAGGTCTGTCTGGGACAGAGCTGACGGTGCCGTGTGTGTTTCAGGGGACAGAGAGGTGGACGAGCAAGTCCAGCCTTCTCCAGGTGCTCATCTCCATCCAAGGTACTGTTGGGCTGGGGTGGGGGTGGTAACAGGGAAGGCCACCGCAGGGCACAGTGACTGGCTGTCCTGTGGGGGTTCTAGGGCAGGCCTGTCCCATGGGCTTCTCCCATCCACTGAGGAGAGGCGTATCTCCCCCGCAGGTCTGATCCTGGTGAATGAGCCGTACTACAACGAAGCCGGCTTCGACAGCGACCGGGGCCTGCAGGAAGGCTATGAGAACAGTCGCTGCTACAATGAGATGGCGCTGATCCGTGTGGTGCAGTCCATGACCCAGCTGGTGCGGCGGCCCCCCGAGGTCTTTGAGCAGGAGATACGGCAGCATTTCAGCACTGGTGGCTGGCGGCTGGTGAACCGCATCGAGTCCTGGCTGGAAACACACGCCTTGCTGGAGAGAACCCAGGCGCTGCCCAATGGGGTCCCCAAGGCTAGCAGCTCACCGGAGCCACCAGCTGCAGCCGAGCTCTCAGACTCCGGCAGACAAGAACCCGAGGATGGAGGGCTGGCCCCTGGAGAGGCCTCCCAGGGATCAGACTCAGAGGGCGGTGCCCAGGGCCCAGCCTCAGCCAGCAGGGACCACATGGACCAGACTTTGGAGACTGCGCCAGACACATCGGTGCCACCCAGTGTCAAACCAAAGAAGCGGAGAAAGAGCTACCGGAGCTTCTTGCCTGAGAAGAGTGGCTACCCTGACATCGGCTTCCCCCTCTTCCCGCTTTCTAAGGGTTTCATCAAGAGCATCCGGGGTGTCCTCACGCAGTTCCGGGCTGCCCTGCTAGAGGCAGGCATGCCTGAGAGCACAGAAGACAAGTAGCGCCAGCCCCGCAGGAAGGAGCATCATAGTGGGAGAGGCCAGCTGCTGCCTGCTCACTCCCCCCCTGGAATCTCCCCTCTTCCCATCCCCCCGTGCAAGCCCCTCACTACCCTCTTGTCCCCAAGGTGAGTTTGATGCTGAAGTGCAAGAAGTGTCTAGAGATGCTGCCATTTCTATTCCGAAGCGATCTTTCAATAGGCGGGTCCCCCGTGTCAAAGAAAATCGGAACCCTGTTGCTGATTTTACACTTGTCACCCCAGACAGAATGTCCCGGCACTTGCTCCCTTGCTGTCCCCTTCTCAGGTCAGAGGTGGGTATTCTAGGGCCTGATGCTGAGCTCTCTTTGGGCCGGGTGCCCTGCAGGTGGCCTTGCATGAAGTGTGGGTTGCTCCAGTAATTCCCCTGGTACCTGTTAACTTCTTCCATTCAATTTTAGCCTCCCCATGTCCCAGACCCTCCCTAGTCCCCCAGCGACACTGTCCTCTGGGAGTTGTAGCTGCTGTCACTGACTCCCAGCTCTGCGCTGGCCTGTTTACCACATTATAGCCCTCAGGCCCGTTGAACTTGCTCTCTAAGAGAGGCTGGGACCAGGGTAGGTTCAGGGTGACACCCAGGAGAGGTGGTGGCTCTCACACATTAACATGGAGTTGAGGACCAGGGAGCTGCCGGGAAAGGCTGTAGGTGCCTTGTTCTTCCTGTCTGAGGCTGCTGGGGACATCGGCAGTTCTGGCTTTCAGGCCCCGCCTGTGTGGGCTGCGGCAGACACACACACAGCCCCATCTCTGGCCCGAGAAGGCAGGAGCAGCAACACAAGGCCAGGGCAAGTGCTAGGGCCTCTCCCCCATCACATGGCCACACTGGGACGTGGCGCGCAGCTCACTGAACACAGCGAGCAGCCTTCTCGCACTAGAGCGTGGCCTCCCGTCAGCCCTTTGCTTACAAACTGCAGGTTTGATCCAGAGCGGGTGGCCGCTGGCGGGGCTTTCCTGTTGCCCAGAGGACGGGCCCAGAGGTTTACAAGTTTTCTAAGCTTTTGATAATGTGAAGCTCCAGGTTAGGAGGATGCTGTTGAGCACATTGCAGCTATGTAATTTTTGGTGTATGTATGTAATATTTAAGGTTGGAAAAAAATCTCAAAAGCAAAGATATTAACTCTTATTAGAAAAAAAGACAGAAAAAAAAAAGCCAAAGCATGATGCGTCTTGTCAGCCTTAAGTGGGCTCCACACTGTGCTGTGCCATGACCACCGAGCCGCAGAGCTGCGGGAGGACGAGGACGGAGCCGACCACACGCCGCAGCCTTTGGAGCCCAGTCGGTATCTGGTTTGAGCAACGCCTGGAGTGGCTGGCGGGCTGTGCTTCCCAGTGCATCGTTCATGTGGAGATGTGAATGCCTGTTGCTTACAATACTGTATAAAGTGCTGTGTGATTAAATTTTTTTTACTTGCATTTTTTTTTTTTTTTTTTTTGGTTGGCTCATTAACCAGACAAGGTGACACCATTAAACCTGCCTCTGCCATTCATCTAGGCTCTGTTGCCTTTCTTCCTCTCTGGAGCACCCCTGCTGCCAGGGAAGGCTTGTTGCAGTGGGTCCTGGCTTCCCTGGCCAGGTGGGGGACCACTGCAGACAGCACCTTCCCCCACCCAGCCTGCTTGAATACCTGTGTGTTTCCTGTCATAGGGTCAGTCTTCTTGTGTCTTCCTGGCTGGTGGTGTATTTATTCCTTGAGAGCCAGCTTATGGCGTGTCTGTCTCCCAGCAGCTGTGCTCCCCAGAGGCCAGATTGACCAGTTCAGCTCCTTCCAGATTCTGGGGGAGCTGAGTCGTAGCACCTGGCGGTGAGCAGGTGTCCCCCTCCTGGGCTTTAAGCCAAATAGTTGCCCACTTTGTGAGACTGGTATCTGCCCCTCCCTGCTGCTGCTTTTTAATTCCTGCCTGGCACTCGTCTACAAGGACAGGTGAGGATGGGCAGAAGCATCTGATTGAGCCTGGGGAACTCTCTAGTCCCCTCACGAGGGGGATAAAAGACTCCTCTTAAAAAAGGAACACCTGCCTGCCACTTTGACTTCTAAAACCTCTTGCTCTTCAGCGACCTTCTCATGCCCTTAACTCATTTTCCTTTGCCTGTTAAATCCACGTGGGGCTCCGTCCAGATGTGCTAAGACTAGCTGGCCACGTGGCTCTAGGTAAGACATACCAGCTCCGAGCCTCAGTCTTCCCCTGTGTGTGGTCAGGTAGTTGGCCAAGCTCTGAGACTTCTTCAGGCTGAAGGTGTGTACTTGTCAGTGTGGCAGAGCCCCTCCCAGCACAAGAAGCTGCACAAGCTCCGGTCCTGGGCCTACCACCAAAATGGCGATGCCGGGGGGTACCACTGGCTGTCATTAACGTTACATTCTGTTGTCCTGGCTGGTGCAAGACCCCCTTCCCTCCTCAATCCCCAGGACAGGACCAGCTGGCTGGGAATGTCACTTTATTTGATTTAGTTCGTGGTATGGCGGTCTCGGAACAAAATGGGAGTGCCTTCCACAGGCAGCTGGGCCCAGCCAGCTGGGCTCCCAGCCCAGGACCTCATTCTAGTCTCTGGTGGGCACTGCCTGTCCTCCCAAAGCCTCCACCTTCCCACCCTTCTCCAGAAGAGTCCCCCTCCACCCCATAGGAGCTACGCACAGGCCCTCCAGTCCTGAGGGAAAGAGGAAGGATCCTGGGCTCCGTGTAGACCAAGTAGAAGGCTAAGGCACAGCAAGGCCCAAGGGGTCACAGGGCTCTTGCGGAGGTGGCGTCTGCTGGGGCTCCTGGCTTGGCAGGGGCTCCGTGCAACCACTGACCACCCGTAAGTAGTTTGGGTGCACCTGGCCCTGAACAGCCTCGCTGACCATCAACTCCCCGTCCACTGCAAACACACCCCTTCTGTCCAGGGGCTCCAGGCGGAAGGCGACCACGGGTACATACACCAAGTGGGGGCAATCGTAGTCCATGTGCCTGCCTTTCTCCATGGCCAGGAAGAGGCGCAGCAGCGTGGCCCGAGACACGCCGGCCCGCACGTAGAACAGATGCATAACGCCAGCCGCACAGCGGCCCATGGGTGCCGCAAACATCTCGCTGCCCAGGTGCGAGTGCAGCAGCGCCAGCACCAGCACAAAGTCCTGGTCAGGCACCACCGTCCAGTGAGAGGGCACTGGCTCCTCCAGGGGCACTAGGTGCACATCCACAGGGCCCTGCTGGACCAGAGCAGGGGAGGTGGGTGTCTTGGAGACAGCTCTCCCTATGGGAAGGTAGGCCAGTCGGCCCCGGTAGATGCGCAGGGCTGCCAGGCGCAGGAAGGTGCCCACGGTGAAGCGCATCGCCCCTAGGCGCCGATACCTCTCACTCTCCAGGTCCACGTCAGCAATGAAGCCCCAGGCCAAGCTGAGCACAGAGAAGAGGCGCTGCCCGGAGACTGTGTGCAGTGACAGCAGGTTCATGGGTGACAGTAGCCGGCGGCACAGCAGCAGTGTGCAGTTGGTCAGGAGGTCTTCATTAGTAACCTGCTCATAGCTGCAGCGGGAAGAGGTCAGATAGGGTGGGGCAGGAGCCCCCGTGCATCCTCCCCTTCCTCCTCCTGGGACAGGCAAAGCCACATGTGGTCCCTAGGGAGTTGGCAGGAACCATGACACATGGAGCAGGTGGAAGTAGCCAGCTGGGGGCACAAGGAGAGGACCCCAGGACTGAGGCAGAAGAGGGAATGGAAGGCCCACTCTGGCCCTGGAATCTCACCCGGCATAATGGTTCAAGGAAGCTGCCAGCGCATTGGCAGAGCCTGCTGGGAGGCTACACAAGGGCTTCTGGATGGCAGTCTCCCAGTCGGGCCGCTCCATGAGTCCGTTCACCACCTGTTGGGGGAATGTGGCCTCAGCCTGGAAAGGACGGTGCCAAGCCCACGCCAGCCTCACGGTGCAGGCCTCACCTCATGCATCAGCCCATCTCCAGACATGACCACCAGGGCGTCCCAGCGGCCCAGCTCCTCCGACCGCACCAGCTCCCGCGCGTGGTTCTGCCGCTCTGCCCGGAGACGCAGCTGTTAAGGCCAGGGGTCCCCTGGCCGGGTATGCTCCCCGACACCCTCCGGGAGACACTCACCAGTGAGCATTAGCATGAAAGAGATTTCGGCCTCCGCCAGAAGGGGCTGCACGTGGCTCCGGAAGAGCTGCAGGGCCTTGCCCTTGCCGCCACGCGGGTTCAGCAGCACCAGCACATGGCAGGGCCGCGGAAGCAGGCGCCCTGGGCCGCCCGCTGGGAAAACAAACCCGAAAAGGCCGCGTCCCCAACCGGCCACTAGAGGGCTGAGGACAGCGACAGGGGCCCTGGGGTGGGAACGTGCCTGCAACACCCGGGTAATTGACCCGACAGAACGTGGCCAGAGGAACAGACCGGACGGAGCGCTCCGGGGTGGGGGCGTCCCTGACACCCCCTGCCTGTGCTCGGGCCCTGCGGCTTCTGGCCTCGTGGCAGAGTGTTTCTCGAGCGTCCCCAGCCCCTCTCTGTCGTCCCGCCGAGCGTTCCATCCTTCCTGGCGAGGGACCCCCTACAGCCCTTCCCAGCAGGGCCCTCACAAACCTGAATCCATAACCGCGACCCGCGGCTCCCGCTGCCTGGGAGTCCCCGGCGCGGTCAGGGCGCTGCCCGTGGCGGCGGCTCCTGCCTTCAGCTCCTTATCGGTGCTGCCCAGGCGGGCGTCGCGGGGCCGGCTGTGGGGCTCGCCCTCCCCGCCTGGAGCCGGGGCAGTGGGGGCACCCGCGTCATTCCCAGCGGCGGCCGGATCTGAGAGAGAGGAAGAGACGCGCTGACGGAGTCCAGGACCGGCGGGGGGCGATCCGCCATATCCAGGGACCACGCGCGGGGAGCCGCGCGCTCCTGCATCGCGGCAAGTCCGTGGGTCTGGGACCTAGTTTTCCGGGAGGTCCAGAGAGCCGAGGTCCGGTGCCGCCGAGGGCGCCCCCGTCGTGGGACTGAACCCCCCACCCCCCGCAGGCGAAGGGTGTCCTCCGGGGAGGCTTTCCTCTCTGAGGCCAGGGTTCCGGCCGAGGGATGAGTCAGAGCCCCGTGGCTCTCTCCGACGGACTAGCTGCTCACCTCGCGGAGCTGCCAGGGGGAGGGGAGCCCGGCTGCGTAAAAATCCCAGAACTTGAGCGGACATCGCGACCCAGATCGCTGTGTCCCCTGCCCCGAACTCCAGAGCGGCCGGGGCCGTCGCGCGCCCCTCCAAGGGCCCGGCTGCCCCGGGACGCGCGCCGCGCTCGTGGGAGCAGCGCCCGGGGGCGCGAGCGCCGAGCTGGAGCCCGGCCGCCAGCCGCCGCCTGTCCTCGCACGGGAGGCAAGTGAGTGCGAAGGCCGCGCGGTGCGCGGCCCAGTTCCCCAGAGCCCCGGGAAGGGGGGCTGCCAAGAAGCCGCAAGCGACGGGAGGGCCGGACGGACCGCCCTACCCAGTCGGTCCGGTTTGCTCGAGAAGCGCCACCGCCGTTCCCTGGGACGCAGCTCGTCCCAGGCTCTGCCCCGCGTCTGCGAGACCACGGGGGGGCCGGGCTGGCGCTGAGTCCCTGGCCTCCCTCCCTCCGGCCTCAAACTTTTCGCTCAACTTCGCAGCCCCGCGCGCTGGCGCGGGAAGGGCACTGAGCCTGGGCGCCGGCCTGGCCACGCCCCACGCTCGCGGGGGTGGAACCCGCGCCGGTCGCTGCTCTGGCCCCGGCTCCCCCGGCCTCTCTGAGCCGCCGTCTCCACGGCCCGCGCCCACGGCTCGGCCACGCGCAGCCTTTTGGCTGGGTCCTGGGCCGTGGCCGCGCGCCACTGCCACTCGGCCCAGGTGACCGGCGAGAAGGCGGTGCCTGTGGCGGAGGCGGGCTGCGAGGCGCGGAGTCCCGGGCGCGCGGAGCTGAGCCCGCAGCGCAGGCCGAGGCGCGGGCCCGGCGCGAACCGGCCTCAGTACCCGACGTCGGAGCTGGCGCCAGGCGCCCGCGGCTTCACCTCGGCTTCCTCTCCACGCTTGGCTTCACCTCGACGCCGCGCCCTCGCCGCTCGGTGCTGCCGCAGGACTGCCCGCAACGTCCGCGGCGGGGATGGGCGCCCCTCGCGCGCCTTGCCCCCTCCCTCGCGGAATTTGAGGCCCGACTTCGCCCCGCGCCCCTCCTCCGGGCCGGGACGCCTCGCTGGCCTCCCGCGGCTTCTCTGTTTTCCTCTCCCACTCTCCAGCGAAGGGTTATTTTTAACTCCCTGACGCGGCAGCTCGGCCACCGAGCCACCGAGCCTGAGGCAGCCTGGCACGCCGTCCCGGGCAGAGCAGGCGACCGGATCGGGGGCTTCTAGCCGGGGTATGCGGTCGGGAGGAGGGAGCGGGAGAGAAGGCTCGCTGGAGCAGACAGGGCTAAGGGTCCCTGTCCGCATTGGAGAGCCAGTTAAGGGGGGCGTGTCCCCCCTCCTGGCCCCCGCCCTCCCGCTCAGCTGGAAGATGCGAACGTGCTCAGAAGTTGTCACTTAAGTCGAGGCCAGCGGGGACGCGTGTGTCAGTGTGCGAGTGATACACGCATCACGTCAAGTGACCTGAACGTGTCCGCGACCAACTCAAATTATATCCCTGCGGGGTTTCTGCGGAGACTGGGAGGAAGAAGTTGGCAAGGCCCACTTGGTGACCAGACCAAGTAGGGCCAGAGTTAGAAAAAAGCCAAGCCCGTGTAGTAGGCGGAGGGGGCCCAGGCCCTGGCTGCAGAGGCTCACGCGCCCACACCTGTCCCGCCCCACCCCACACACCTCTCTCTATCGCTTCTTAAAGTGGAGAAGAGGCAGGTCCGGGAGGAGCGCGGAACCAGTAAGCCGGGCGGCGCCCTGAACTCTGGCACGCCTCCGCGCATCTTCTCCGCGGAGGCCCGGGGCGGCTCGGCCCCGCTTCCCAACTCTGGGGGGCCAGGCGGGCGGGACCCGGGGGTCCCCGGGCGAGGCGGGGGGAGCGGCTGACACGCGCGGTCCGGCGATGTGCGCCTCCGCCCTGCGCGGTCCCCGGGAAGCCCCGGCTGGGTCCTGAGCGTCCCGGGCGCGTTCCGGGAAGGTGACTCAGCGACGCGCTCAAGGGTCGAGAAACAGCAACGCGGGGAGGGGAGAGAGCAGGGGCGTCATCCCCCACTCCCAGCGCGGCGGCGGAGGTCGGGTCCTGCACCTCCGGACCTCCGACCCCCATCTCCTCTCCACCCCCATCCCCAGGAATCCGGCGCGGGCGGGGGAGGGCAGCGCTGCAGCCGCAGTGGCGCGGTCACGCGCTGCGGGGACGCGAGCCCCGGCGGGAGGAGGGGGCTCAGCGCGGGAACCCGGGGCCAGATCCGCCCGCCCCTCCGCTTCTCTTCCTTCTTTCCCTCCTCTCCTCCCAGCGAGGGCTAGGGTCCAGGTCCGGGCTTTGGCGCCTAGAAGACGGGAGAGTCTGAGCCTGTGCCCTGGAGATCTGAGCCCTGCGGGGGGCTGGCTGCGGAAACAGGCCGGGCGGCTTCGCCCTCTGCCCCCTGCTCGGAAGGATATTTCCGTCTGGCCTGAATAGCCGGCATCATTAGCCTTGGAGTTTAAGGGGGGAAACTGAGGCACGGAGAAGGAAAGACCTGTCTGTGTGAGTTCGTGGCGATTAAATGAGCCTGGCACGCGGCCCCCTTTCCCCCAACCCCCAGGAGCCCCAGACTGGAGCCCCTGGAGTCCTCGAGGCGGGCGGGGGCGGGATTGGCTGGAAACTGAGTTGGCGAGGGGAGACGGGGCAGCCCGCTGGACTCCACCGCAGCTTGGGGGCCAGCTGCCCTCCCGCTCTGGGAGGCCCAGTGGGAGGCAGGCGAAGGGCAGAACCCTCTGGCCCCGGTTCCAGTCTGCATAATGGCTCCTCTGTCCTCCCTGGCACCGCCCCTCCCCCCCCCACCGCGCCCCCCTCACCTCTACGGCCTCTGCTCTGTCCCCCTCATTCTTGTCATTCACCTCCCCCACCCGGCCTCTGCTCTGTTCCCCTCATTCTTGTCAGTCACCTCCCCCACCCGGCCGCCTTTCTCAGACCCCTTTCCCTTTCTGAAGAACTTTATCCTTTCTCCCCAAACTCACCCATCTGTATCCCTGGCCCAAGAGACAGGATTTGACAAGAGCAAGAGGCTGTTTCCCTTTTGACAGTTGGAGGAACTGAAACCTTGAAAAGTAAAGGATCTTGCCCAAGTCCCCAGACCAGTTCCCAAGGGAGCTGAGAAGCAAACCCCGAGCCCCGACCCCCAGCCTGGGAGGCCAGATTCTCCCGGAGGGCCCAGGCTTCTCCCTGAAGTGTAGGTGTCTGTTGGCCTGGTGAATTGCTTGCCACACACAGCTGGTCAGTCTCCACCAGCAAGAGGGGGCAACTCCAAGTCCTCCTCCAGGTCCTCGTTAATGAAGCCCGGGAGAGCTTGGCAGCCACTGTGCCCAGCAAGGCCCACCGTGGGCCTGGCACCAGGCTTGGGCTGGCAAAGTCTTGATCACCAAACTTGGCTTGCAGGTAATACCTGTCTCACAGGTGAGAGGGATTGTCTTTCTGTCTCCCCTAGTTTCCCCTCCTGTAGGCGGCCTCCCCAGGGAGACACACCAGAGAACCCCCATTTTTCTTTTTTCAAAGAAAGAAAGCAGCCACTCGCCAGGACTGGCTCTCCAGAAACCTGGGGTCAGGGCTGACAGATGGCAAATTACTGCCTTTTATGAGGAAAGGATTCTGCCATCTCACCCTTCCCTGGAGCTACTTCCCTGGGAGATCTCAGCTCCCTAATTGCATGGCCTGGAGGCTTCCCTTGACCTCAACTTCTGTCCCTTTTTACAGTAAGTACTTCACTGCCTGAGAGGTTGTAAGGGCAGGGGACCAGAGGTGTCCAGGTCTGCAAACTCTGCATTAGACATGTGTTCTAGGGCCGCCCCTGACGTGGCTTTCCATTCTGAGCGTTTTCTAGATGCTGTTTCCAGGTCAAGCATGCCAGGCATCGGGGCAGGGGTGGGTGTGCCAGGTGCCCCACATGGATCTGGAGCTGACCGGTCATGTAGGATTCTTGGCTGCTTGCAGGGAGTGTGCACCTGGCTTGAGTTTCTGTCTCTCTCCAGTGGTTTCACTGCTCTGGGCGTGTGCGGGGTCACCCCTCATTCTACCCTTTCGGGGAGGGGTCTTCTTGTCCTTGTGGGCATCCTTGCTGGGGCTGGGAGCCAGGTCTCTTCTGGGCCTCTGGGCTCTGCCTCCCACGCCCTCACCTCCAGGCCTGCTACCCTCTGCTGCAACTCAGGGTAATTAGCTTCCAGAACCCTCTCAATGTACAGGCCTGCTGGCCATGCCCTTCCACTCAGCTCTGTGCCTGCCTGGTGTCTGGAGGCATCTGTATTAGTTTCCTGGAGGCTTAAACAGAAATTCACTGGCTCACAGTTTTGGAGGCTAGAAGTCTGAGATCAAGGTGCTGGCAGGGTTGGTTCCTTCTGAGGCTGTGAGAGAGACTGTCCCAGGCCTCTCTCCTGACTTCTAGCGGTTTGCTGGCATCTTCCGTGTCCCAAATCTTGTAGAAGCATCACCCCAACCTCTGCTTTCATCTTCCCACGGCTTCTCCCCGTGAAAGAGTTGGCTGAGATTTGTTCTGTAGGGTCTGCATTACCCTCTGTGGGCATGTTCTTCAAACGCTAATGACTCTGAAACCAATAAGTTATTAGGACCTTAGTGTGAATCAGTGTTTCATGTTTTTAATAAAAATATATACTGCCAGGCAAGGTGGCTCACACCTGTAATCCTAGCACTCTGGGAGGCCAACCGAGGCAGGCGGATCGCTTGAGATCAGAAGTTTGAGACCAGGCTGACACCCTGTCTCTACAAAAAGTAGAAAAATTAGCCGGGCATCATGGCGCATGCCTGTAGTCCAAGCTACTTGGGAGGCTGAGGCAGGAGACTCTCTTGAGCCTAGGAGTTAGAGATTGCTGTGAGCTAGGCTGATTCCTCAGCAGTCTAGCCAGGCAACAGAGCAAGACTGTCTCGAAAAAAAATGAAATAAGATAAAAAGATGTACCAATAGTAGGTGTCCTAGCCAGGTGCAGTGGTACACACCTATAGTCCCAGCTACTAAGGAAACTGAGCAGGAGGATCGCTTGAGCCCAGGAGTTTGAGACCACCCTGGGCAACATAGCGGGACCCCATCTTTA